ATCCTTCAAAATGAAATTCTTCTTAATTCGATCACATTAAGTTCACTTCTTCGTTCAACCGGTTAATTTTTTTAAATCTCGCTTCGCATTTTCTCTCGTACAATTCTCCGTTGGTCTGTCAGTGACGAGAATCGTTCGTTATCATTTACAAAAGAGACGCTTGGTGGAAGAACACGAGCGGATGTAAACTTGAAAAGTAACGAGATACTTGCGTGTTCATTACGAGATGTGTCGTAAATCGGAGACGTAAGCTTGCGAGGGAAGAGGAAGAGCAAATTTGTCTCCGGTTTTATATTCTTTCTTATTCGCGATCGATAAAAATTTAAGGAATATTTTACGTCGCCAGACACAATAAGGTCGAACAGTTTCATGCTATCTCATATTCGCGCGCGGAAGACGTTTCGCGTTACGATTTTTACAGATAGAATTTTATATTTTCCGCGATAAAAAATGGTAGAGAGCTCTTGATGAAAAATGGTGGAGAGTTCTGTATCGCATAAATTCACGTTCGAATTAAATGGGAAAATAAATACGAACGAAGGAAGAAATAAGATGAACGTACGTCGGGTATAAAAGATTCATTACGCTCCCGCAGGAGCGTAATGAGACGTCCAAGGGAAAAGAAGTTCGAGGTACACTAAAATATCCTTCAAAATTATAAATATCTTTACCATTTTTGTACGTGGTTACATTTAAAAAAAAATTTATTACACGAGGCTCTCAAAGGGCATACTTAAAGAAAGTAACAAGCTCGTTGCGATGGAGTAAAATTCGCAAAGACAACTTAACACAAAGACGGGGTTAACGAGTGAAAAAAAATTTCCCCTTTTCACTAATACTATAGTTCAACGTTCGTTATCTTTCAATTGTACAATTCTCGTGTAACAAAAAGAGAAAAACTGGCTAAAGAACAAAGTGTGATAGTATTATAACAGAGAGAAATCTATTTTCCGTGCAGCAGACAGTGAAACTTTGATTTTTAATTTTCTCACGGGAAGAGGAACTTGTTGCGCGATTAAAACTTCCCGCGCTTGGAAATATCGGGATAGACGGACTTCCTGATGAAAGATGCCGACTCGCCTCGTCAAAGTCTCATCGCGACGACGGGGGGGAACACTTGGGTGTACAACAGTGCTCTTCTGCACTTGAATCGCATTTTTCTGGAGAGCGTCTCGTCGGCGTAGAAACGCGATCGGAAGCACGTCGCGCCGTTAATGAAAACGAGCGTTGCCGAAGAAGAAGACCGCAAAGTGGACGTCGATAAAGTCGCCGTAGAGAGGATGCTCGATAACTGTGTCCCGACGCCGAACGCGGAGCAAATTAAATTTTCTTCGTTGACTAGTCCAAATTTCCCCCGTCGAGCCCTTCATTCCCGAGCGCATTCCCTTCCGTCCCTCCTTTCTCTTCCCGCTTGTTCGTCTGTCGGCGGCTTCCTTTTCGGCAATCAGACGAGCAGGAGCCAAGCTTGTACCACTGTCGTCGTATTTCTGAACCGCGAGGAAACCAAAATTTCTGCTTCTTGCATTCTTGATCGGCAGCCGCAAATTGGAAAACTATTCTCAAGGAAAATCGTGTCCCGTGCAAGCATGGATTTTATTTACCAAGACGCTTGTCTCGTTACAAATTAACGCTGTTTTCGACACAAAAAATTCTTTCTTTCCTTATATAGACGCGTTCGTATTTCTATTGTTATATATGTAATGCGATATACAATAAGTGAACATAAAATAGATTTTTTATGAAAAAATTAAGAAAGCTATTGAATTCTGATTCTAAAAGTTTTTTTTAGACATTCGGTGATCCGACAATTGTCAAGTGTAAAAGGGCATGGAATTTGAACAGTCTCCGCACA